TGTAGAAAATATATTTGGCTTGAATAATCTTTCATTAATAACATAGAGATATATATACACGAGTTTTCCTTGTACACTAAGGAATCCTACAATCTAGGAATTCCATCTAGGGAAGGATTGGGTATATGAATCAATTACAAATTCTTTCCTATCTAAAATACATTTACTTTCTAACAGAGACAGACCATTATTGTGCTGATCCGAATCCTCCCAATTGTGAGTGCATATGTTGCTGCTAGGCTAGCTATGTACTTCTATGCTTGTAAATCGCACATATACATTGGATTTACTTCTTCTGTATTATATCAGTTGCCAAATTACGTAAAGAGAAAGCAAAGAATAATCACCAGGCATGATTTGCAGGTCCTAATTGGTCATAATTCTTATTTGTCTGCAAATTAGTCATGCATGGTAAGCCAGAGTGTGCTGAATGATGAATTGAAAAAAGTACACTGTGATGCCGTAAGTTCTTTGCATGCTGTATTTAGCTGCTATATGTTGCTTGTTGGCATAAATTAGGTTGTGCTAATTTTGGTCCCAAAATATCGTTGTTCTCTTATATCATAACTATGCTTGATGTGATATAACTGATAAGGACGTGCCCAAAAGAGCCCAATTTCTTCTAATTAGCCAACTTATAAGTTTTAATATGAAAGTATGAGAGCAGAACTTGTAAGCTACTTGTAAGAGTCTGATCAAAGAAGCCATGCCATGCTAGGATGTCAACCATATGCTATGAAAAGTAGAAATGAAGCAAACCCTTGACATTGAGTTTGAGTAGCCCAACATTCAATTTCAAACCGTATGGCATTAGCATCCACTAGCTAGCAGCCTTGACTTTTTACACACTCAACCGCTCGCTATCAGCGTGTCCAGCAACCTCTGTTGAAATTTTAATACTATCTCCATCCTCATCCTTCACAACTTGCAACCTACCTGCCTGCCAGTGCCACAGTTTCAAGTCACAAGCATATTTTATATTGTATCTAAGATTGAATTTGTTGGACTCGTGGCCAGTGCATAACTTAAATTCATAACCATGCCCCTTAAAGACTTCCAAGACAAAGTGTTCTGGTCAAATTGGTAGGCTAAAATGTATGAAAGGTTCCTTAACTAAAACTCCACTTTACTTTTCGTCCCTTAACTTTAAAAATTATTATAATCATCCCTTAATTTTTGGAGTTGAAAGACGAAAAATAAAGTCGAATCTTAATTGACGGATCATTGCTACATTTTAACTTAGAATAATATTTACCCTTCAGTGTTACAGTTACTAGCAAAAGCAGCAAGATTCAAGAGTTGCTCTGCGAATTCATGTTTTTTTTTTATCTTTACAAAGAAAATAAACAACAAAATGGGCAAGTTGCAAAGTGAACGAGGAGTTAGAAAAATCTTGGACGAGAGCCCATCAAACTCTTGCTCGAGTGGAGTTGCAGAGTGAGGTGAGAAAGTGATAAGCTATTGGTTCAAATCTTGTCAGTTTAAAAGAAAGAAAAATCTTGGATGACATTAATGACATGGCTCTCATGGCCTAATGTTTAAGCTCAAAGCCGACTTGTTAAAAATCTTCTAAAAGTCGACCGAAATATTTGACCGAGAAAAAAAAATAGTCGTAAGCACATATATATTATTATACAAAAATTGGAAATATGAAACCAATAAATAAGAAAGAGCCGATTTTGAAAAACGCGGCGGCTGGGTGAGGTTGCGCCGGTGGAGCCAACGGAGAGGGAGAGTGGTAGGTCAGAAGTCAGTAAGCCTAGAAAAGTAAATAAGAGTGGTAGGGCCATAGGGGCCATAGGGGCCATGACCCTTCTGATCTCTCGCTCGTCATCCATATAGACTGTTTTTTGTGGTATCTCCTGTCCATTTACCAAACTGTCCTCCTCCTCATTTTTCTTCAATATTAAGGATTTTGTGTTTTTCAGAGGTTCATCTATCTCTTCTTATTCTTGAATTTATCTCTTTTAATAGCTTCACTGCCCTAACAGGGTAATCATATAATGTGGTACATGTTTGAGTAATGCTTGCCTTTTAATTGGGCGATTTCTTGAATAATGTTTATGCTGCTTGTTTACAAGTTGGCTACTTGACTCTTTATGCATTAATGGTCGAAAGTTACCTACTAACTTGTGGACGGCTAAATCTTACAAAACCCTAAATTTTTATACTAAATATATGTAGAATACTAGAAATTTATACTCAACTTGGTCTACATTAGCTTGGTATGCATTTTGGGCAAATTCCCTTAATAACTTAAGTTTATTGGGCATAATCTAGCATGGTATTAGAGTTTTGGTTCCAGAATTTTTAAGTTTGAATCCCTTATATGGTTAAACATGAGTTGAACGTGAGGGAGAGTGTTAACTTGATATACATTATTGTGTGTATGTGAGTGACAATTTTAACTTGATATACATTGTATGTTCATTTCCTGACATTCTATTTGAATATGACGAACATAGTAAAGATAGGAAAAAGATTGAAGTATTTTGCATAACCCTCTTGATCATCTTGAGTTATGAAAATGTCATAAAACAACACTTTTGCATGCATCAAGCAGTAACTTCCCCTCCCAATGCTTTGAAAATGAGATGGAGACATTGACCCGCTGTTGAGCAATATCAATCAACCATGAGCATTGAGCACCAGTATACATATATATATATATATATATATAAAAGCTTTGGTCATTTATTCAAACAGACAGTTCAGATGTCTTTGAACCCAAAACTTCATTTTCTTAGTGGGAATCCGATTAAGTCACGATTTTAACTACCAGATCATTTTACAAAACTTACGTTTATTAATGATTAGCTTGGAACAAGATTCCCCTTTAGAGAGAGACCTTGGAATTCAAACATTTAGTTTTGTTAATTTGGAGAAAAGAAAAAAAGGATCCTATTATTTTCTAGTAATACAAGCAACAGGTTGGATAAGAAGAAAAAACAGATGGGGTACTTTGGTCATTTACCCAACCTGTCAACTCTCTCCCAGAAAAGAAAGCCTCCTGTCTCTTCACCAAGCTCCTTATAACCCCACCAAGCTCTACCCCCAAGGGAAGATTCTCTCTTTCTCTCTCCCAATGTTTTAAAATTTCTGGCCTTCACAAGTTCCCAACCATAGAAGCAAAAGCTGTAGCCAAGGGGTGAAAAAAAATAAAATCCCAGAGTAGCAAAAGCTTCTCCTGCCGGCTTCTTCTTCTTCATCTTCATCGTCTTCATAGAAACCCAAGATGTCACCGTTCTCTGCTTGATTGTCTGTTTCTTCATCTGAAGCCGTTTGCTTCCACTACTTGTTCTCAGTCACTGAGTGATGGGTGTGAGCTCTACTCTCTCTCAGACTTTCCACATTACAGTAATTCTCACAAGAAGCTCTTTTTGCCGTAATCATTAGATTGAAGCCAACACATGTGCCCCTGAGAATTCAATCTCACACAACATTGATAAATACATAAAACACATAAATATATGTCGGGTGGGAAACTCTACAGTGCTTCAGACATGAATGTTATTTTTCAAAACGAAAAGCTCCCTTGCTCTTCTGACGTTCTTGAGTCTATTTGGGTTCCCACTTCTTCCTCCTCTTTTCATGGTAATTTTATATCTGCTTTGCATTTTTTTACTTTGTTGGTTCTCGAGCCTTAGAGCTAGCTAGCTATTGTCCATCTGTTTGATGCTTTTATTCTTGTTGGGATTGTTGCCTTTCTTTTCATTTTTCATTTTTTCCTTTTCCATTCCCTTTCTCTGCTATTCAGACTAATGGGTTTTCTCGTTTGACTTTGGTTATATTTCGTTGCTCTTAGATTGATCACTGTAAAGCTTGAAACTTTCACACATCCGATTTTGAATTATGTTACTTAATGCGCAAAATTCGAATTTTGGCAGAACTTTCTTATTACTTGACAAAAATTGTGGGTCTTTGACATTCTTTCGACTATTTGTTACCTGTTTCGGTTGATCAACAGGGTAAATCTGCTAGACTAACATGTTAAGGTGGAAAGTTTGAAGCTTTCTGCATGCTAAGATTGAAAGTCTGTAGCTTTTTGCATGCTAAGTAGAAAGTTTGAAGCTTTTGCATAAACTCTTACAATATTCTATTGCATTTCTTTTTAGATTTTTTTGGTTTGTAATTGTTTTTTGGGTCTGGAATGAATTCATCTTGTAGTTGCTAATTTCAGTTCCTCTCTGTAAACAAAATGGGGAGACTTTCATCAATAGAAGAAAGATAGAGAAAACCCCACCGAGTACGCTTATCTGAAATTTACACTATTGAGTTCTTGAAAAAGGTGTGGCCATCTAAAATTTGGGTGATCCTTGTTTTTGTTCCAGGTTCAAATTCAGTGGTTAATTTTGAAAGTGCAAGTGGAGAAGACTCCTTGGATAGGTCATTCTTCCGACCGATTGATAAAGAAAATGGGGATGACGATTATGATGCAAGCCTTAATCAACCAGGAAAGAAAAGGCGGCTTACGGTGGATCAAGTTCAGTTTCTGGAGAAGAACTTTGAGGTAGAAAACAAGCTTGAACCAGAGAGGAAGGCCCAACTTGCAAAAGAACTTGGCTTGCAGCCTCGCCAAGTTGCAATTTGGTTTCAAAACCGGCGAGCGAGGTTTAAGAACAAACAGCTGGAGAAGGAGTATGACTCATTGAAAGCTAGCTTTGACAAGCTCAAGGCTGATCATGACAATCTCCTCAAGGAGAACGGAAGTTTGAAGAATGAGGTAAATAAGTTCAATATGATCAGCATGCCTCATTTGAGTAATTTGTTAACTCTTTTGACTGAGAAAATAGTAAATGGTTTAATTTTTCCTTTGTGTGAACAGATTGATTCCCTCAAGGACATGTTGATTTTGAAAGATAAAGGAAAGCCTGGAAAAAGAAATTTGGAGTTGCATGATGCAAACAATATTATTTTATCCGATGTAAAGCCCCAAAGTGCAACTCCAAATGCAGCTTCTGATAATGTGCCAATGGTGGTATGCAAGCAAGAGGATGCAAGTTCTGCCAAAAGTGATGTTTTTGACTCAGATAGCCCGCATTGCACTGAAAACCATTCTTCGTTGTTAGAGCCTGCTGATTCTTCTCATGTCTTTGAACCAGCTGAACAGTCGGATTTCTCACAAGATGAAGATGATGATCTCAGCAGGACCCTTTTGCCCCCACCCTACTTCTTAAAACTTGAAGATAGCTGCTATGATGAGCCGCCTGCAAGTTCTAGTAATTTTGTGTTCCCAATGGAAGATCAGCAGCCCTTTTGTTTCTGGCCTTACTGAGAGAGAGATTATCATGTTTCACGTTGACAGACTGCTATATTTCTCTCTGATGAAATGTGAAGTTCTCAGTTGTAATTATGGTTAAGTTAACTAGCAATAAATCCAATTATTTTGTCCGTTCACATATGTTTTATGTTTTGATTTCCCGGGTTTATGAGACGACATAGGTTATTTGGCTACGAGCCAAAGACACAATATCCACGCAAGAGATGAGAACTTATGGGATTTGAGGGCAAGTAAGAAAGAAAGGAAAACCAGAAGTTGATAAGCTTTGTTCCCTTCATAAATGCATTAGAAGTTGAGTGCATTTTATTTATTTTTTAAATATGAAGATTTGAGTGCATTTTATTAAGTAACGTATCTTAATGCATATTCTGGAAATCTGATGTTGCTGCATTTGATAATCTGTGTTTTAAATTGATCCTTCTGCAATAAGATACACTGGCTCCCAAATACTGTTAATTTGTTATCATAATAATAATCAAACTGCAGTGAAAAAGCAATCTTGGCAGATAGTACTACAGAATATATTTGTACAGAATATATTTGCTCAACACAGCATACTCACTCCATAGGAGGAGAGAGAGAGAGAGAGAGAGAGAGAGATCATTAACATAATGTTTTTGCTCTGTTAATTAATGTGTTGAATGTTACATCTTTGTGAAGTAACGTCCAAGACAAGTATATTTTAATAGCAGCGTGACAAGCTGAGTTTGAATCCGAACACAGAGAAGCATATGAAAAAGATGGTTAAAGTATAACACAATACATAAAAGAAAGAAAAGAAAAAGTCAAATTTTTGGCTATGGTTTCATCTTCAAGTGACAATCACTCGTGTGTGATTGGCAATGACTTTTCGACGCCCCCCCCTCCCCTTTCCCTAAAATCTCGATAGCTTATTGGGGATGTTGACACCTTGGTTACGTTAAAGCTTTAAATATCTCAATACTTATATGCAATTTTTTTTTTCCTTCCTAAACCAAAGTTTGTTTTTTCCTGCAGATTGCTTCTGTTACAGAAAATCTTGCTGATGCAAGTTTGGATTTCCCAAGAAATTGTGCCCTCGAAAATGTAAACACACTCTTATGACATGAGTGTGTATTATAATAACATGAGATGGGGTTCTGTTTTTATATTTAATTGTTTTGGTGGAATATGGATTGCATCATGCATGGCCCATTGGCAAATTGGAGCAAACCTTCTGAGAGATGAAGTCTTACTGGTTTGTCACACTTCACGTGGAAAAGAGAACCTTTGCTTTGATGTGAAAATTTAAATTTCAACTTTATTCGGTGGAAGCGAAAGAAACTGTTAACATTGATTTGACCCCAGAGTAGAAATTCTTCATTTTTGACAGAAATATGCTTCAATTTCAATTTTCAACCGTGTTTTTATGTGGTTATTTGTCTATGTGCTGGTTATTAAAATCGATCCCAGCTAGCTGCGTCATCAACTTGGGAAGGAGGGCGTAGAAATTACAGAGATTGAGCTAAAAAGATGCTGCCACCAAAGTTGAATTCTCTGTGGCCAAACCGAAAAAAAAACAAAAGTCTTGCTCTGTTTCTAGCAAATTGGGTTTCAAGACTTTTCAAGAGTGCAAAAGTTGCACTGCATGCTCTTGATTCTTGTTGCGGGGTCCAGTAGCAATTCCAAGTTAAGGCACACATGTAGGAGTATTTGAAGACATGCTCTAATCATTGGGGATACACAAATTTCATCTGTAGAAGGGTTTGGAACAGCTTTTCTTTTTCTTCTTGAAGTGAAGTTTTTATTTATAATTTGAGTTTGTGATTATAGTCGTTAGATGGAGAGATAACGGGTTGGTCATGCGCTCGTGTTTCTACCAAAATTGTCACGACCAACATTCCCAATCACAAAAAGAAGATAAAAAGGCATAGTTCAGTCGAGCAACGCCACACATCCATCCATATGTTCCGTGTGAGATGTTAAAACTTAGGCTTCTGCTTCACATCTTTCAATGGCTTGAGCAAACCAACAAGTAAAGGCCAAGTTCATAGTTGGCAAGTTATGCCACGTGGGGACAGCGTCTGGCCACATCAACTCTAGATATTTCCTCCCAAACCACACAGTACCGACGATTTCAAAAATCCCATTCCATTTCTGAAACAATCACATTCGTCCGGAACCATCGGAAGTGGCTTGAACATCCACCACATACGTGTCAGTATCCGAGCATGCCACCACACCGCAGGAGCATGCACAGGGATGGCTTTTTAATGGGCCGGGCCCACATGTGGGCCGTATATACAGATATGCATGCAACGTGGCGATAATCCCGTGGTGGGTCTGAGAGCTTGGAAAGCGCTGGGCCCCACTGCAGAAGGGTTCCTTTCCGTAGTCTCTGTTCCAGGAGAGAAGGGTAGAGACAGAGCAGGATAAGAATGTAATGGGGCGGGTCATGCATTGCAGTTGGGCCCCGGGACTGGGATATGGGCTTTTGTTGGTATTGAGACAGCACTGTCAGCTCTTGATCATCCAACCAACCAACCTCACTCTCTGGGGGTCTGGGTGATGATGTCACACGTGTGCGGTCTCTTTCGTGGGTCCTACTAACCACGTGCCTACCCACACTTTCTTATTCGTCAGCTGATTAGACCATGGCAGTGGCCCAGTGCCTATGCATTGTCTAGTATAGCAGCCTACCCAACCTTTCATGTGAAGTTTGATGAACATAAAAAAAATCAGCACTAGTTCAACATATTGTCTTACAAATGCCATTTAGGCATTATTTGGTTTATGAAAAAAGAGACTTACAAATGAGAAATCAATTGCTTTATCATGTTTGGTAAGTTTAGGTATAGAAAACCGTTGCCTGGCTTATGGGAAAGTAAGGGGAAAAGTAAAGTCATCATTCCAACTTAGGTTTTGTTTTCCTCATCATGAGAAAGTTTGGAAAAATGAGTTAATATTAAATACATATTTTTTATGACCATTTTATCCCCATTAACAATTTAGAATTACAATATATTATTAAATGTATTTTTTTTATTTGATTTAATATGGGCATAATTGAAAATTATACAAACTTTGTTTTCCATTCGTACTCAAAACAAACATGGGAAATGAAATAAAGTAATATTTCCCGGTTGCTTTCCCAGCATTACCAAATGTGGGGAATGAATCTTCCATTCCCATTCCTTAGAGAATGACATGGGAAATGATTTCCCCTCAAATTCATTCCATGAACCAAACGGGGCCTTAGAGGATTGTGATTTATAAGGATTCATTTGAACTCAACTCCAATCTAATCTAAGTCAATCATCTACCAAATGAGGTCTCAATGTTGTTGTCCATAGCCCATATTTAAAAATGGGCTTTGCCTTTCAGCCGAGGAAAGGAGAAAAAAAAGGTGGGCTTTGCGCTACTTTAATTAACTATATGAAAATGTGGGTCACTTTAAAACAATAATTCTGTAATGAGGGCTTTATAAGTGAGGCTTTATCTCTTAATTGTTGGATCTAATTGGTTAGCCGTTGGACCACATTGGTTAGCATGATCTAACAATTAAGAGATAAGACCTCACCTAAAGGTCATAAATAAAGCTCTTACTATAGAATGACTCCACTTCAGAAAAGCCGAGAGGAATGAAATATCAGAAGAAAAAAAACCATCCAATCTTAAGCCCAATAGGAAAAGACACCAAGATAGATCCCCCTCCACAAAGCCAGCTAGCATAGGATATACCCTGACGAAACAAGACTAATCAAGAACTGGAGAGGATTTACAAACATATACTATTTCATGGCATCTCTATGAGAGCTTTTACAAGAGCATTCTTCAAAGGTGTTAGCCAGGACAATCACTTCATTATCAGAAAGCAAATCCTTCTCCTTTGAAGCATAGTTAACAAGTTCATAAGATCAGTACATTTGGAATTCTTTACCAATATTTGAAGAAATAGATTTAGAATAACAGAGGGGATAGAATGATATTCATGATTAAACACATCCCATGTAAATTTATTTGGAGAGCGGCATAGGTGAACCATCCATTGTGGTTAAACTAGCACAAACAAAATGAGAGATGTTCATCAAGTGACAAGACAAACTTAATCAGACTGCAAGCACATTGCAGATCCAACATAACAACTCGGCTCTGTTGTTTGAAATGAGGAGGAGGACGCATTACTTTAATTACTCCAAACCATGACCAAACTAGGAACAAGATACATAGGTATGAGGGTGTTACGACAGTGACAAATTTATTATAGAAAGAAGTGGAAGAAAAAGCCTTGCATTGTCAGCTACCATAACCTCTTTGAGAGAGATTCATCTCATATTGCTTTACATTCAGGTTTCAGAAATCACAAAGCATTCATACATCTTCTACAGAAATGTTGTGTATTGAGTCAAAATATGAATTGATACGGATAAACATGTAGAAAGTGAGTAGCAAAAGCATACAATCTCAAAATTCAAAGATCATTAGTTAACCCTTGTGAGGATTGGATTACTTCAAGAATTTCCAATGTCATATAAGCTTGATGAGCTTAAAGACTTCCTAAGGTTCCGAAGGATGCTCCACATGAATGTGGATATAATGAAGAGGATAATACCAGTGATAATTGCATATTTGAGACCAAGGTTCACCAGCAAATTTACTAGAAGCCCAGCCAATAAAACACCAAAGAAATTTGCAGACACTGCTGCCCAGAATGGCATATCAAGAATGGAAGCTATGATGGCTCCTGTCCATGCTCCTGTTCCAGGGAAAGGCACAGCCACAAACAACATCAGACCAAGCCATTGGAACTCCTCTACAGGGCCAGCTTTCTCTTTGGCTCTCACAAACAGTATGTCTAGGAACCGAGCTGCGGCCTTGTTCTTTCCAGCAAGGAAAGATGCAAATCTCTTCAAGTAAAGTATGATGAAGGGCACAGGAACCATGTTCCTACAGATACATAGTCCTAAACTTTGTTACTTCCTACAGATATATATAGTCCCAAACTTTGTTAATTTCATGAAAGAAAATTAAACTACTCTCCTGATCATCGCAAAATTTACCTTGGACACAACAATGTAATACACAGAAAGGTAAAATACTCAAACTTGAAGCACCCTTTTGATCAAAATTGGGCAAAAGACAAATAGGGCATTAGGAAAATACTGAATGAAGGATGAATTGTTTAAAAGTAAAGTAGCCCATTGCTCTAATATCACCATAAGCAGGCATACTCTATCAAACATATTCTATCAAACAGATACAAAGGAACAACAAAGGCGAAGTTGTAAAAGAGCATTGGTGAAAATAAAAAATCCAACAAAAATCAAGTGGAATATCAAAATACGGATACAGACAGAAAAGACTAACCCCAGAACGGATAGAACGGTTAGCATAACAGGCTTGAGTTGCAGCCAGTAACCAACAGGAATAGCCCCACGAAGCTCAATCACAGGAAGCGTAGCCAGGGCAAATACCACAGCCTCATCAGGCCAGCCTGAGCCTCGAAGCGCACTCGCAATCTTCAGGCCAAAACTGGAGGCTCTAATGGAATCAGCTGCAGCAGCTGCTGCGGCATTAGCATCCCCAGAAGCTGCGAACAAAGCAAGGGACACAGAGGCCCAAACCAAAACCCAAAAGACAAATTTGACTGGCCGTTCCTCAAAGACTGGCAAAATATCATCTTTCTCATCTTTATCAAGAAACCCATGTGAAGAAACTCTTGTTGCAGCGTGAGAAAGCGGTGAATTTGCCAAACGAGGGTTTAAAGGGGACAAAGTTCGGAAATTTAAGTCTGCATTTGAATTGAATGGGGGTTGAATGCTTTGGGCAATGGAGGGGCGGCCATGTTTTGGTGAAAATCTGAAGCGGGTCTTTCCAAGAGACAAATTTGATGTTAATGGTGATGTTGATGCTGATAAAAATAGAGCCATTGCAAATGGGAGGTTGGAGAATTGATGGGTTGTCAGCTCAGGTTCTGTGTCTCCGAGTTAGGTGTCTGACAGAAATTTTGTGAGCCGGTGTGTTGGGGGCTTTCTGTTGTGGATTTGTGAATGGTAGTTTCACTGAAAATTTACTGTTTGCAAACAAGGTTTTCAAAGCACCCATCAAAATGTTGCAAAGTGGACCATGAGCTGCTTTTATTGTTTAAAGTTTGGGCTTTTATGGTAAGATTTCGGGTGTGGCTAAGGTTGAGATGAGCATTGAGGCTTAAACGGCATAAGACAACAAGTATGGAGGAATTACCAAGGTCTTGTTGGAGATGTGGTTAAGATTTGAGATCTTTTGGAGTTATGGTAGGGCTAAAATGTGATGCAACAATAAAATGGTCTGTGAAGAGACTTGGTACTTGCCTTCATTTCTTTTAAATCTTTTTTCTTGTCTCATTTCCCTTTCTCTCCAATTTACGGGAATAGTAAATTCTTGGGAAGATATTGAGAATTGGTGTACAAACCAAAAAAAGGGGCGAGTTTTAAGCCGTTGGAGTTGCCCAAGTGGTGATAGAGGAGGCTAATGTGTTAGGGTAGGGTAATGATAGATAACTGTAAAAGGAAATTAAGTGTCCAAAAAATTGTATACTTTCTACATGGTGACACAAGTGTAGATTGAGTTTGTTGCCCTATAAATATGTACTCAACATGGTTTATGTGCGATATGGAAAAAAGGAATATCTCGTCAAAATTTATATCCCATTTCGTGCATCTACTTTCTTGGATTCATGTTGTACTTTTTTTTTCCTATTTTTGTGAACAAGTTTATTTTCTATTTTCAAAAGGAATGGTGGAATCCTTATTGATTAAAGAGAAAATAGTCAACCCACATAAACAGTCAAACTCCGAACTCATATGATTTGATATTAGTATATGAACGACAACCCGGAAGTTGGAGTCGGTACATCTACCAACACAACACTAGACCCCCAATTTTCTTCACCAAAATCCATGAGCCGGAAGAGAGACAAACCCTACTTCTCCCGCCACGTCCCCGCCTCCGCCTCCGCCTCCGCCTCCGGATGGAAACGCCGTCGTCCCCTGCCTCCTCATCCCGAGCCCGAACCAGAGCTCGACAAGCCAACTTACAAGCTGCCGCCACCGCCGGCTCTTGTCATTACAGGTCTCCAGCCAGACTGCTCCGTCCTAGACCTCAAGTCCCGGTTCGAAATATACGGAGCCATCTCTCGCATCCGCATTGACCGCGATGCGGTCGGCTACGTCACCTACCGCGCCACCGACTCGGCTGAAGCCGCCATTGCCGCCTCCCTCGACCCCTCCTTTGGCATTACCCTCGACTCTAGAAAGGTAATCTTTTTAAGTTTCCCTTCACTTGCCCATAGAAGCTTGCTTTTTTCTTTGTTTCTTTGTGGGTTTTCGAATTTTAGCAAAGTTGGTTGAAATTTGGGGTTTTGTTGCAGTTGCAGGTCCTTTGGGCAACAGACCCACTTGCCCAATGGAGGAAAGGAGTTGGAGTTGGTGCTGAAAACAGAGATTCTAGTAATGGGTCATCCTCAAATTCCAATCTTTTGAGGGCTGAGGTGCCTCTGAGGAGACATGGTAGAGGCAACAAGCTTGCTTCGGCTATAGTGAACCCCAGAGTTGCTGCTGCTGATGGTTCTTCAGTGTTGGATGTGCCTGCCAAAGCCAGAGAAATCGTTGCTTATGATGACATACTGTAACTTTCATAGTCAGTTATTTGGAATTTGAAGGATTAGTTTGTAACATTAGCATTGGGTTTTGGTTTATATAGTTGGGAATGGAAGAATATGATGGTATGGAGCTGCGTGAGTTAGGTACTTCAAACTTCAAAGTTGTGTAAGTTATTTAGATAAAGGGTTGATGTTTTTATGTTTGGTCGTGAATCCAATGTTGCTTTTCTTTGGTTTCTGATTTTGTGTGTTGTTTTGTTTCCATGAATCAAGCAGTCATCTGTTGTGAATTTACTCTGTTTTTACTTCAACAATCTAGTTGTTGTGACTTGTATTTGCGAATGGGATTGCATTTCTTTCAAACATGTTTGTGTTGGTTTTGATAACTTCACACAAGTGGGTTGGATTGAGGCTGAATTTGAGATTCTCAGTTTGCCTTCGGAAGTTGAAGCTTCTTGGACTTTCAAGTGACACAGTAATGAAATATTGGGAAGAATAAATGAGACTCGTACTCAATAAACACGGGAAAGAAGTGAAGAGTCTGAAAGTTCAGGTTCATCTTTTTCATCGTAAACAAAAGCTATCAAATGCTATACGGTTTACCAACTTATTAAAATCTACATGTCCAAGCCCAAAAATCTTGAGTCGGAGCCCAAAGAGCCCAAATGATGAGCATCTTAACAGACTTTACAGAGAGC